CGTTCTCTGTCCAAACAAACAGTGTTAACAGAAATCTAAAGTAAAACCCATGCATAAATATTCAGACACTTTTTCATTATTTTTATCTTAAATATTTTGAACATTTTCTAGTCCAATTGGTATATGTGTTAAGTATGCTAGCTGATCCAAACCACCTCAAGCTTAATATGGATGGTGCTGTAAAAGGCAACCCCGGTTGGGCTAGCGGGGGAGGCGTTGGATCGCCGGTTTTTGCCCGTGTATGGTCATGGGTCAGCTATTGAGGCTGGAAAAATTATATAATAATCCCAAAATATTATGTAGGCATACTCTTTCATTAATCACCATTCATTATGTCCTTTTATATTTCTCAATCACTCAACACAAATAATTAATATTCTACCTTCTTCACCAATTATGCTATCATAGAGTACCATGTGACCGTACTCTAAACCACCAAATAATCACTCATTTGAGGCTAAGCTTTGGGACGTGGGGTCCTTGTGATGGGTAATCCCCTGCCGTGCCTGTTGTGCCTAAAACGGCACCGTTTAATATATATACATATATATATATTTTGTTTTCATGTTCTGACTTTATTTTGTAGCATGATAAATTACACTTTGCCCTAAACCTTAAACCCTAAAATAAAAATAAATAAATTTTAAGAATTAAACCACAAACCCTAAAATAAAAAAATAAAAAAATTTAAGAATTAAACCCTAAATCCTAAACCCTAAACCATAAAATAAAAATAAAAAAATTTAAGAATTAAACCCTAAACTCCAAACCCTAAACCCTAAAATAAAAAAATAAATTTTAAGAATTAAACCCTAAACCCTAAAATAAAAAATAAATTTTATCCCTAAACCCTAAAATAAAAAAGAAAATTAAGAATTAAACCCTAAATCCTAAACCTTAAAATAAATTTTTTTTTTATCCCTAAACCCTAAAATTAAAAAAAACAATAATTTAAGAACTAAACCCTAAACTCTAAACCCTAAAATAAAAAAAATAAATTTTAAGAATAAAAGTAAAAAAGTGACCAACCAAATGCCGTTTCTTTTTTTTTTTTTTTGACTGGACATTTTTTTATTTTAATTCTTAAAATTTATTTATTTATTTATTTTAGGGTTTAGAGTTTAAGATTTAGTTCTTAAATATTTTTTATTTTAGGGTTTAGGGATAAATTTATTTATTTTTATTTTAGGGTTTAGAATTTAGGGTTTAATTCTTAAATTTTTTAATTTTATTTTAGGGTTTAGGGATAAAATTTATTATTTTTATTTTAGGGTTTAATTCTTAAAATTTAATTTTTTATTTTAGGGTTTAGGATTTAGGATTTAGTATTTGATTCTTAAATTTTTTTATTTTTATTTTATGGTTTATGGATTAGGGTTTAGGGTTTAATTCTTATTTTTTTTTATTTTAGGGTTTAGAGATAAAATTTATTTTTTTTTATTTTAAGATTTAAGATTTTGGGTTTAATTCTTAAAATTTATTTATTTTTATTTTAAAGTTTAAGGTTTAGAGCAAAGTGTAACTTATCATATTTAAAAAGTAAAGTCAGAACATGAAAAACAAAAAAACAAAAAAGATTAAACGGTACCGTTTTAGGCACAACAGGAAATTACCCATTGCAGGGACTCCGCGTTCGAGATTTGGATCCTAAGAGATGGGCTGAACTTAGAGGTAGAAAGGAATTATTCCAGACCATTATTGTTGAAGTGGATGTTAAATTGGTTTTAAATCTATTAACTACTCCAAACATCTTTCATCATAAATTGAGCAATCTCATCATTGACTGCAGATACTTATTTTGTATTAATTATGAAGTAGCTTTTATAACAAAGATTGATTTGGGATTTACTCAAAACCCTCAAGAATATTGTTCACATTGATGGCGTTGTTGAACTGTTAAGTTAATAATATTTTATTTTAAGGCAGTGGCTTTGGTCCGGTCTAAGATTGAATTAGACTGTGTTGTTGGGCCTGTGGAGGCTCATCACGGGTCCCGTTTTGATAATTCGAATGTTCAATGTGTAGAACTCGTTGAGTACTATATGCCTGTGAAAAATCACGTTGATCAGATATCGATAGCTATGTGAACAAAACAGTTTTTTATCAACCGTTAATTTTTTCACCGTCTATTTTTTTTATACAAAACTGATTTGATCATATAACTATTGATATCTGATCAACGTGATTTTTTTACAGGCATGTAGTATTTGACGAGTTCTACACATTAAACGGTTCAGATTATTAAAAAGGCCCAAAAAATGAGCCCCATGAACCTAACTGGACGGGTCCAGTCTTGATCTCAACTTGAGACAAGCTGGACCTTTATTTTAAACTTTAAAAATTCATGATTTTCATAGTATAATTATATTTTTAACAAAATATATATATTTGTAATATACTCATTGAGATTTATTAAATAAGTCCACGTTGAATATAAATTTTCTAAAAAATATTTCTCAATTTTGCATTTTAAAACTGAAAATTTTAATAATTTCTATGTTTGAAAAATTAAGCCTCCGTTTGGGAAGTGGTTGACTTTTTGGCTTTTTTAACTATTTTAACCTGAGCTAAAAAGTTTGGTTTGGGAAGGATTTTTTAATTTTTTGACTTTTTTTGACTTTTTTTGTGAGAGAAAAGTGTAATGATTATAGATTAAATGTGATATTTTATTTGTTATAACTAAAATAGCAAAAAAACTTTCTTTCCAAACGGTACCTCAATTTTATCTTTATTTATTACAGAATTTCTTAGCTTTTGGACTAAGAATTTTTTGGGGTTGGTTGGTTGTGGTTGCCGTCAGGCAATTGTACAGTTTGACACTAGGTTGTGGCTACGTGGAAGATAGAGAAAGAGAGATGTTTTAGGAGTAACGACAATTTTGTAAACCTGGAGGTCCAGTGGGTGGCCCAGTGGGTGAGGGAAGAAAATCTGGGGTATGGGAGTTTGCTCCTCCTGGAGGTTTCAAGTTCGAATCCCACTCCCCCCGGGTTACTGTGCGGGTCACTGGAGGTTTGCCCGATCGTTAACTTCAGGGCCCTCAGGATTAGTTCCATGCTTCGACTGTAGGGATACCTGAATCATCAAAAAAAAAAAAAAAAAAAAAAATTTTGTAAATTAGATTTTCATTTAACTATGTCATTAGACAAAAGCTCTACGTAGGAGACAGTTTAGTTTCGTCAAACTAAAAAAAGTTGCTGTAATTGTCAAAAACATGAGAAGAGGAGCTTGAGTCGCATTGTAATTAAGGCTTCGTTTTGGAACATGTTATTTTAGTAATTTTTTGATTTTTTAATTAAAATATGAGGTAAAAAAATTAATATGTTTGGGATGACTTTTTGATATTTTACGAAAAGATGTGCAAAAAGTAGAGAGAAAAGAGAATCTTTAACTTTTTTGTATAAATTATAAATTTTTTGACTTTTTTAATAACTTTTTGACTTTTTGACTAAACTGTTAACTTGTCAAACGAGATCTAAGGCTATGTTTGTTTTAGTCTAACGCTATGTGATTGGATTAGTAATTTCATGAGTCTCATACAAAATGTGTTTGTTTTTGAACACACATAAGATAAATTGTTTGATATAATATTTATTTATAATTTATTAGGTAGAAATAGTTTAAATAAATAAAAAAAACTAATTATTTAAAAGTAAAAAAAAAAATACTTTTAACTTTTACATTGTGATTATTAAATTTTAACTTAAAAAAATTCTACTAAACAGGACCACTACAGATTATGGCAATACGTTGCAACATCAACAATCAACTCTTAAAATTAATTTACTAACTTACTAACATTTATTTGTCAAAAAAAAAGAAAAAAAGAAAAAATTAATAAAGATCAAATTAAACACTTCACAAATTTGTATAGAGAACATCATATAATTTTTCCTACAGGAGCTCAAGTCCAAATTTGGTGGACCAGAGGGAGAAAGCTTTGTTCCCTCCTCCACACACAAGGGCTGTTTGGCAAGTTGAGTTTGAGTTTTATTTATTTATTTATTAAAATTTACAAAAAGACAAAATAAGTTCAAATAATTAATATAATAAAATATCACATCAAACTCTTAATTATTTCATTTCTTCTCTCATAAATATTACATTTAACTACAAAATAAATTCAATCCTCTTCTCAAACATAATTATTTTAACTTGACAAAATAATTAAAAATTAAAAGAGCCTATTAAAAAAACCAACTACTCAAACGAGATCACAGACTCTTCATTATGGCCAAGTTTGGCAACTCAAAATAAGTACATACTTTTTATCTTTTTATCTTTTTTTCATCACATCATCTCTCTACTTTTCTGCACATCTTTTCATAAAAAGACAAAAAGTGCACTTATAGGTTAATCCAAACAAACCCATATCCTGTCTCTGCAACACATAAACTCTCTAAACTTCCCAATTTCTTTCCTATATTTTCCTGAGTAAGTTAAAAATTATAAAAATTTTATTTTTTTAAATATTTTATATAAATATAAAATTCACATAAAACTTATTTAAGGGTGATTTGAGATAATTTAAATAAGTACACTTTTTAACTTTTTATGAAATATGAGTTAGATATAAATTGAGTTTAAATGATGTGATAAAGACATAATATGACTTAAATAAGATAGTAATTCTTTAACTTTTTAACTTTTTTAAAATATCCCAAATAAGACTTTAATGTGAGTGATACATCTTAAAAAAAAATTTTAAAAACAAAAATACTTTGTACCCCCAGTTTTTCAGACCCCCAGTGACCCAGTGTTTTCTTATTGGCATTGACTGAACTTTTTTTTTTTTTTCCTTCTCTCTGCCAATCACAGAGCCCCACGTGGAGTGGGGTGCTGGAGGTTACCCCACTGGGGTCCCAGCACGGTTGTTTTAAAAAAACATTTGAAATCATTAATATTTCCCATTTATCTTGAAAAATACTGCTCCAAACTGACACTTTTCACAGATCAGATTTATACATATATAAATTTATATAATATATTTATATAGATAGAGAGTTGATTTATAGTGAAGAAAAAATAATAAACACCCACCTTCAGATTTTCTCATTCCTTTCTCTCTGTCTCTCTCATTTCATTTCCATTATGAGCTCCAATCTTTGCAAAGCTCTTCAAATGCTTTCTCATTCCTAAAATGTCGACCGTAGAGAATCCCAGTACCGATATTGAAACCCGCCGTCGCAGGCGTCACCGTCGCCGCCGTAAGCGGCGGACTTCAGTCGCCGGAATCACCGAAACCGGCACCGACGACGGGAGTCTCTGCTTCTCCGACACCGAATCCGACGACCAGTCGTGGCGCTCGACTGTCGCCGGAGGCTCGTTCTCGGAGATCGAGTGCGTTTCGGACCCTCACAGTCACAGGGAGTCTTCTGGGTCGGATTGTTTGTCGCGTGAAGTGGATTTGGAGAGTGGGGATTTGGAGTTGAAAGTGCATTTAGCTAAAGAACAAAGAGATTGTAGAATTTGTCATCTGAATTTGGTGGGTGGTGGTGGTGGTGGAGATCGAGAATCTCAGGTCGCGATTGAACTGGGTTGTTCTTGTAAAGGCGATTTGGCTGCTGCTCACAAGCATTGTGCCGAGACTTGGTTCAAAATCAGGGGTAACACGTAAGTTTAAACCATAACTTGATGTGTTTGCTTTCGTAAAATTATGGGGTTTTGGGTATTTTTTGATGCATTTGTGAAATTTTGAGTACTCATTCTGAATTTCTCTTGGATTTCCTAAGTGGAAGAGTTCAAAGAAAATGAATTGATTGTGATTCTGTGAATTTATTCTTGGTGTATGTGTAATTTTATGGAACATTTTGATGTCTGTGAGGAACTTTGGGATGTGTAATTGTTGGTTCTTCCAAATTTCTTGTTAGAAGTGTTTAAGATGTTGAATTTCAGTATAAATTATGATAGGTTGCTTGTGTAATTTAATTGTCTTTCACTATATATGAGAATTCTTTGAGATTTTTCTTTTTGGGTGGGTATCTTTGAGGTTTTGTCCTGTTCTCAGAATGTTTTTGTAGTTTTTGCTGCTTCTCTGTACTTATTTGCTGTTTTTTTGCGATAGGAAAAAAAAATTGTAAAATAAAAGAGACTATAGACTTTATGCTAGGGTTTGATGTTTGTGAGGAATTTCTCGGGTAGGAGCAGAGCAATTTAGTGCGGATTGAGCTTTTTGCCAGCCACTGCGAAACCACGGTTCACCCAAACCAGTGGGTCGGTTGATTTGTTTAAGCAGTTTCAACTTGGTGGTTTTGTCTATTAGGCTGTGTTTTTTCCACAGTTTCCCTCACATTTTCCTTTCCATTTCCAAACCATTACCCTCAATTCCATGACCCAAACACAGCCTTACTATCATTTTATCTACGCAAGCAGAGATATCATTTTCTAGAACTTTGAATTGCGTAGGCAGCTTGGGCGACATTTTGCACACCCCCTTTTTTCGGGTAGAACATATTCAAGCTAATGCCTATAGTGTGTGTTTTCTATTGTATATGATACTTGGTGTCACTGAGATTGGAATTTAATGTTGTTACTATCTTGCTTTTCTGTTTCTTGCTCTGTCTTAGGAAGTTGAAATTCTAGTCATGTTTAGGGTCTTGAAGTTTTGTACAAAGCATCAACTCTCAAGGAGAGTAAATGTCAGATCCTGAGTCTCATTTGCTTTGTTTGGTTATTTGAAAAAATGAGTGGATTGAGACATCATTTTTTTACTAATGCTTCAAGAAGGAAGGCATTACTTTCCTAATCTTTGTTTGCATGCTTCAATGCAACGTGGCTTCATTTTGCTACACTTTGGTTCTTCCTACTCATCTACACATATCATTTATATGTCATAATTTGTTTCAGATTCTGGGTTTTCTGTTTCTTAGATGTTAGAGAACCATATTTCACCTAAATTTAGTATATTGATGGGTGAATCACAGAAACTTTCTTAAACATGAGTTAAATTTGAGTTACTGTAGAAAAGATTGGTTAGTTGTAGGATCAGACTTGCCCTGTGTTTAACAGAGAAATGCTTAAGTTGCATGGTATCTTTTGATGGAGGGATATTTGCCTCTTCAGTGTAATCATATTGTCAAGTTTTTCTCTACTTCATTGAATGTGGTTTATGAGGTTTTTTCTTCATGTTAACAAGTATTCATGATTTTTTATTTTATTTTATTTATTTATTTATTTATTTATTTATTTTTCAGACTGCCAATTGTGAGTTTGATTATAAATTGGGCTATCAATTTTGTTGTTTTTAAATGAATTCCGCATGCCTTTACAGTAGATTGATCACATGCACACAAATCTATATAATTTCCGAATTGAAGTGTTTGGTGCACACTGTTTTGTGCTTGTCTGCAGTTCTGTTCGCTGCATAATTATCTTGCCAACCCCTGCTCCTTTCATGTCATTTTCGTCATTGTTGTCCTCATTCTTTTGCCATTTTATTGTCATATGGTATCAAATATAACAAAACCATCAAACAGAACATCAATGATGGATAAGAACAAAATGTGTGGTTACCACATGTCGCCTCATATTTATTTGCAGAAAATTTTAACCTGTGAAGTCTTTTAAGTGCACCCTGATTTGGGATGAGTACCATGGATTGGTTGAGAATGTGGGCTCCAATTAAAGCTATTGACTTGACTGCTCGAACAAACATTGATTTTAGGGACAGGACATGAGCAAATTTACAAATGTAGAAATTCAGTTTGTAGTCATAGAATTCTGTTCTCCCAAACACATAGTGCATAGAATTCTATTCTCAAGATGTGTAAAGTACCCGTCATTGATCCTGTTTTTATCAATATCAATGTTTTCTAACGCAGTAGAAGGTAACATTTCCATCATTTTCATATTCTATAATTTTTTTTTTCCTCGCTATGGAAAAAGGTCATGCTAAGAATTCATTGCTCATATTTTACTAAAATAAAATAAAAATGGAATTCATTAGCCGTATCAGAATAGTTTATTGGGCTTTTGTTGAAGTTGGATTTATTTGTAAAAATCAGTAGATTGCTTGGTGAGGGACTGTTTTGGTCTACGTTGCTAAGATTTCTACCTCACTAAGATTATTTAGTTACTTATAAGGATCGTCTATCCTCTTTGTATATCCGTCCTGCACAAAGATATTGGAGTTACCAAAGGAGTACATTGGAATAGAAAACATGTAAGAGGCTTTTGATTGTAGAGCCATCAAATTGCAGTCTGGGGAATTTTTTAGATCTTCCTAAAAAATTGTCTTCCAGACCACATCTAAGACCTAAAAATAACATGACCCCTCATACAACCCAGAATAAAATTACCGTCTCTAGGTAAATTTGAAATTACCAAAATGCCCCAATTGGGGTAGTATATCCTTTTATTATTATTGTGATGATAAGATATAAGCACACTCATTGAGTACATTGGTGATGATGAGAATGTACCCAATATTGATGTCTTTGTTGTGGCACAAAGACTTGTGATAAAAGCATTTTTTGTAAATCCTCCAATTTCAGTGGAAGAAGAGAATCGCAGCTAGATGTACATAGTTAATTTTGTAGCATTCAAGATATGATGTCTCTCGTAAAGGCTGGGGCTCGCAAGTTTGAAGCAAATGCACAACTATTTTGGCAACTAGGAAAAAAACCAGCTTATTGGCTTATTTGAGTCACATCACCTCTCTATTTTTTTGCATATTTTTTGAAAAAAAAGTCAAAAAGTTAGCTTTTTTCCTACTTCCCAAAATAGGCTTTTTTCCTAGTTGCCCATATAAAGTTTTAAGGGACTATAGTACTCTTGAATGTATAGTAAATACGAAACACCTCACAACATTGCATATCTTGCATCCGTGCTAGTCCTTCGGTTTAAAAACTTAGCTTCTTACCTTGATCTGATCGCTTGTAAATTCATGCTCCATGTCAAATGCATCCATTCGCTGTCATTATTTTTTTATTTTATATTTTACTTCTTATAGCCTAATCTATATGCATTATACATGTATCTGCAGAACCTGCGAGATCTGTGGAGCCACAGCACTCAATGTCGTTGGAGAGCAGCCAAACGAGGGAAATGGTGCTACTGCAAGTGCCAGTGCAGCACCGGCAGGTCCTTTGATCCTATCTGAGACCCGAAATTTCTGGCATGGGCGTCGAGTCATGAATGTCCTCCTTGCTTGTATGGTCTTTGCCTTTGTTATTTCTTGGCTCTTTCACTTCAATGTACTAGCCTGAAACCCATAGAAGTGCCCCACATTTTTTCTCGATGTGGAGGGGGTATCTGTATCTTATGTTGTCTTAAATATAGAACTATGTCTGAGCCATTGTAGCGCTTTATTTATATGTTGTATTGATCATAGAAGTATCTCTGGGACATTCTAGTACATGAAATGTAGCATAATTGGTGCCTTTAATGTGAGAATGGGATTGGATTTGTTATGCTTCTTGTAGCTGGGTGTGGAAAGGTTTCTTCTTTGTAGAAGATCTCCAAAATGGTAATTTAAGTGACTTGCTTTGTGGTCCAGACATTCAATTATTCAATTCTAGATGTGAATTCATGAGGGGTGTTTTCATTGTTTAAAAGTTCCTCTTCATCTAGTACTGTAAAACTAGGTTTGTTTGCTTGTTTTTTTAATTTTTGTGATTGATAGTAGCATTACAAGCATTTGCACATCTTCGTATCTTGGGTGGTTTAAGTTGGAAGGGTTTTTTTTTCCCATCCAATACAATTTATGTTTTGATTGTGATATTTGAGAATGGTTTAAAATGTTCTAAATAAGTACATTTTTTAATTTTTTATGAAATGTGAGTTAGGTATGGATTGGATTTAAAGTGATATGATAGAGAGGTGATGTGAGTTAAATAAGATGATTTGACTCAAATAGGATAGTGATTTTTAAAATTTTTGACTTTTTTAGATTATGACAAATAAGACCTTAGTTTATAAAAAAAAGGATTTTAGTTACCTTCTTTGTGCTTCTATGAACAAAAAAGGGGCTTATAAGCTGCAATTTAAAAACTAAAAACAAAAAGTAAAAATGCATTCAGGAGTAGCTTGCCTCGAGCTAAACGGTGCTGTTTGGCCTGTGAGAGCTTTTCACAAGTTCCGTTTTGATAATCTGAACCGTTCAATGTGTAGAATTCGTCGAGTATTATATGCTTGTAAAAATTCACATTGATCGAATATCGATAACTATGTGAACAAATCAGTTTTGTAATAAAAAAATAATGAATGGTGAATGAATTAATAATTGAAAAAAAATTAATCCTATGAGATAGGTATCAATATCCGATCAACATGATTTTTTATAGACATATAATACTTGATGAATTCTACACATTGAACGGTTCAGATTATCAAAACGGAACCTGTGGTGAACTTCCACGAACCAAACAATATTGTCCAATCTGATTTCAAACTGGAGGCAAGCTACTTTCCTTCGTATAAAGTGACTAGCCACAACAATTAAAAGATATAAAACCAAATTTTGTCTCCTTAAATATTATTAAATTTATCAACACTTCATTCATCCACAAAACAACACAAAATTCCATGTCTCCAGGATGTATCCTCCTCCTACAACATACATGTCTTGTGAAATTACAGGCCATGCATCATTTGGCTTAAGCTTTCCATGAAAGCGATGTTTGCTCTGATCAAAAATCTTCATTGACATGTTTCCATGAGTAAGTCACTTACCCAAGTGAAGATACAAAAACTGTACAAACTGAGCTCAGTCACCAAACACTCTCTTATCCAAGCTAGACCCTCCCAACAGGCAAAATGGGTGGAAGATACGAAGCATGGCTTGCAGGAACCTCTGGTTGCACCTGGTTCGAGCTCTTTATTCCATCATTCACCACCACAAATGGGGCTTCTTCAGACAAATTATCTTCAAACAACTTGTTTAATTCTGGAACCTCATATGGTTTCCCACTATTCAAAACTGCTATACATACGGAGAATGCTTGTAAATATGAGAGCGACGAATTAAATTCAACTGAAAAGATCCTATCCTTGAACGGGGACAAGCTGAAGATAGGCCTATCATCAAGCACTTCTTCCTGCAGAAAAAAGGTATAGAGGTTCAGTAGAAAAAGAGAAAACGACAATCCTAACTGGAAAACAAATGGAACAGTGGTTTAAGGGCATTTGATCATATACATGATCAGAGAAAAGCTCAAATCTATCTGCTGTGTGATGGGTTTTGGATGAACTTGATCTTCTACTAAGTTTAGTCTGGTTGGCAAGAACCCTTAATCTGCAACCCAAATCCCAACCTCCACAATCACATGATCCACCCGATTTCCATCTTTCAATCAATCGAGAAGGCTCTCCTTTACTTGGCAGTCCATGAACGCCACCGGGTAATATAACTGTTGCGCTAAGAAGATCTTGACTTCGAACAAAAGACCCAACTTTGGCGGTCTCTTTTGGGAACTTGACAATAATGGCGGCAAGCTCATCATTTGGCTCGAGTTCTGACGCGTGCTGATCTGCCTGGGCAAACAAAACAAACTCCCCAATGCTTAGTTCATCAACAGAATCGTCTCTGACCAAGCTGGAGATCCGAGGAACAGAAACTGTCATTTGAGCAACAACATTTGGGACGTAACCATGATTTTTACCTTTGCCTCCTTGATTTATCCAACCGTTCTTTTTCTTTACTTCATGAACAGTAACAATTGTATAGATCCAGCAGTTGTCATCCTTTCCTGAAGAACATTCCTTTCTCATTGTGGCTGCTAGAATGTCACTATTGTTGTCAATTGCAAATGTAAACAGAGGAAGCTCATTCTTTATGGTGATTTGCAAAAGAGCTTGCACAGTTGATGATCCATGTTTCTTCTTGTGATGTGAATCATCAACATTGACAGTCTTACAACTTGTCAAATCTAATTTTACTTTCGCTGAATGTACAGTGGAAGATTCTACTTGTCCATTGGCTGATTCGGCAAAGTGATGGGAGTTTGCTGCCTTCGGCTTCAGCAGTGGGTCAAGTAACCTTTTCAAAGGGCTGGACGATCTATTTGTACCACTGGGTTTATCACGACTTGAATCTTCCAAGCAAGAAGAAGCAACAGCTTTCTCTGATCCGCATTTGAATGTAACATGTTCTGAACTGTCTTTGGAGCTGAAAGTCCGGCCAATTCTACCTAGGCCAATGCTAAATCGGCGAGTTGGAGAAGAGTTTCTCGACTTAGAAGCCTCTACTGTGCTCTTTTTCAGATCTGATCCCTCAGAAGATTTGATTGCAATTGAATTTCTAGGCATTACTTTTGACTTCTTCTCTTCTACGTTCTTGACTCTGGATGGGCTGATTGACAAACATCGAGAAGGTTCAGACGGTTCAGATGAAAACTTGATACTCTTTGAATCCACGGAACTTGGTTGTTTTATCTGCAACGAGTCTTTAATGTTATCGTCTTCACGAGGCAGTGGGCATGAATGTGGGATGTCAGAATGGGGATCTACATTGTATAACTCCTTTGGAAAAGATCCCTCTGAAAAGCTCCTTCGACTTGCTGCTTCTTTGCATCTTTCATGGTAATTATGATGAATATCACAACATGGTTCTCGCAAATCCTTCACTCCACTAGTAGATTCACCATCTTGAGTCTTTTCCTTTCCCTTCGACCATGATGCTGCCTCATAACTGTTTAAATACGTGGAAGTTTCAATTTTGGGAACAATCCGTGGCTCAGCGTCTTTCATCTTGCACTCTTTCAGCTTGATTTCTGATTGGTTTTTGCTAAAAGACTGGTACATTCTAAAAATACTTTTTTGTCCTTTTAAGGGGTTGTTACTTGATGAAGCTTTGAGATCTTGAAACTTTCCAACATTTTCTACAACGGTTTTGACACCTTTAGAACAATCTTCTTTTGGGGATGATGCATTCAGATGGAATTGTAGTGTCAGCCGGTGTGTCCTTTCACGAGCAGGTGAGCAGCTGTGGGCCCGGCTTGAACGGGTTGACGATCCATCTGTTGAGAAGAATGAGGAGGTATTGCTGCTGGACGGTGAACACCTGCTACTATGGGAGGAGTTTGGTTTATGGGTATACTGCCATTTTTCTAAACGACGCCAGTCAAGGACTCCAACATTCAAGGCTTTTTCCTTGAGATTTTTTCCTTTCTCCAAATAACTTGGTAAATTCGACATGTATTTAACAAGTTCTTCATTCTCAATTGCCTTTCTTCCAAGCTTTTGCTTTTGGTGATTTTCTGACAATGCTGGTGGGATGTTGTCTACGTTCTTCGTCACTTTTGAATTGAGATCAGCATCAGACACAATAGGCTTTTCTAATTCTAGCCTGTCCTGCAATTTTGTACTTTGGCTTGCTCGGGTTGACAATATATCCATTCTTCTTATGGCTTGCTGATACTTTGAATCTTTTTCAAACTTTAAACATTAGTCCATATGCCTGCAAAGATGGTGATTATGACATTTTTCCAATGGCATTACGTCAGATTAAAATACTTTGAAATTTATCTCAAGCTTGCAACAAGGAAAACCAATCATGTTCATACAGATACGGTCCTGAAGTAAAAAGGCAAAAGTGAATGTAGTAAAAACAGTTGAAGAAAAATCACATTACTCTATAAGCATTTGAAAATTTCACAAGCAAGACACGGCAATGACATGGGAAGGAGAAAAAAGAATATCCAAGCAAGCGTGAAACGTCAAAGAGAAAGGAGTCAAATTTAGTATTCAAGAACTGAAGAAGTTCTGAAGGGAAGATTTCCTATGTGCAAGGTTGTTGATCTCTAGATTGCACGATAAGAAATTCATGAAACAGAGATGTCCAAAGAGAGCAAATTCAAAATATTCTCTAGGCAAACAATACTATTTCCAAACTCCAAATAAGGAGTTCAAAGAGCTCATTCAATGGACATAGTAACACAAGATAAGATCTCCGTTTGTCAAGGTTACCAGTTATCACTAACTGAGGTGGTTAGGGTTCCAGAAAAAACCAAAGAAACCGAACAAGTCTAAGATTATAATGAAGAGCCAAATAGCAGACATGTTTGATGAGTTTCTTATTCAAGCATTGAAGTAGCTTAGAGAAAGCCTGCTCCATTTGAGCTCCAGAGTCTAATTCTGCAGATTTATGGAGGAATTAGGTTTTGCATATCAAAGATATATTGTTCCAAAACCATAAAAGACCTTTCATGCTTGAAATCAGAAGTTAGCATCCAAAAAAAGAAAAAGAAAAAAGAAAGTAAATGACAGTGGTAGCTGATAAATATTGAGGAATGTATACAAATTGGTTCTAAGGATAAAGAACAAGTGGTAGATGATACATACAGCAAACACACAATTGTCCCCAACAATAAAATAAACATTTCAGCAAATAAACAATTACTAGCTAATGTTCCATACCAACAAGATTCAGATAATCCCATTGCGATTGCACAGACTACAAATTCTACTAGCTACCCAGAAGAGAACGATGATTTCTTTCTTTCTTTTTTCTTTTCTTTTTTACCTTTTCTTTACCAATCATAATAAGAGAAATTCCTATGATAATAAGTAGTGCCAAATGGTTGAAAATTTAGCAAATTGATGATAGGTGCAAGAAGACAACCTTCAATATGTATTAAAAAAAAAAAAGAAAAAAAAAAAAAAAAAAAAAAAAAAAAAAAAAAGGGAGAGAACAAGCCAAAGAATGGGGTGGTCCTTAGAACACATTCGAAGTGAGCTAAGAAGATAAGGTACAATGGCCAGTCCTTATCGAAACTTCAAGTGCTGGAATCAACAAGGTCCCAGCTGGTCAAAACCAGAGCAGCACATGATTCAAAATTTTAAACACAATCCCCCGTTTGGATCGCAGGAAAAAAGAACAGTAAAGAAATTAAAGAAGAAAAGATGAATGCTTTTAAGCATTTTTTTTGCCCCCTTGTTTACCTATTCTCCTTGCCTCAAAAGTAGTTCCTTTTCGTCTTTTTTTCTTTTCTTTTCATCTTTTCTCAGAATCCAAATGGTCAAGCTGAAGATTCAAGCATTTTGATACCAGAATTCTAGTTATGTTTCGAATCCAAAGCCACCCAAAAAACTTTTGCTTTTGAAAAAAACAACATAAATCAGAGCAAGAAAAATACTTCAAATTCCCCAACAAATTCCAAGAAAACAAAAAATCGAAGCGAACTAAATCTACAGACTTTTCTGAGAAATCAATCACTTGGACAAAGAATCGAACACGTACCCATTATCAGGAAGAACAGAACCCATTATCAGAAACTCCTCAGAATCGAAAAGTGTCGGTGGTTCATAGATAAGACTAGTAATTGAGCAGAGAAATCAAAAGCTGAGAAAGAGAGTTCGCAGGAGACCCAGAATAAAAGAGAGAACAACCGATCTTTTCGTATATCCCCAATTGCTTCTCTTTTTCTTCTTCCCACAAACTCCAAAGCTGAAAGAATACACACAGAATCACACATACACAGAGAGAAGGGTAATTATGCAGTGATCGTGATATTTTATAATATTATAATTAATAAAAAAAATAAATATATAAGATATTAGTATGTTAAATGATTAAAAAATATAAAAAAATAAATTAAATAATAATTAATTAGAAATACGGACACATAGGAGAGACAGTATTAGAGAGAGAGAGAGAGAGAGAGAGAGAGAGAGAGGAGGTCGGTTGGCTGGATGCTCACTTCACTTGTTGTAATGTTATGTCAGCAGAGTAGGAGAGAGAGAGAGAGAGAGAGAGAGTGAGAGTGAGTGGGGGTGGATGGTTTTCATCGGACGGCTAATAGAGAAGGATGGGATTAGCGGGGAGTCACATCAAGAATGGCGCGCTGGGACCCACATCATGATGTAATCCACATTTAACTTTGGGATAAATTGCACTATTTTTTCACTTTGCCTTTAATTTTTTTTTTAATCATTTTTGTTCTTCATATTTATTTATTTTTATTTAAATTTAGTTAAAGTTAAATTATGGAGTGATTTAGAAAGTTAATTAAAAATTGATTTTTTAATTTTTTTTTGTCTTTTATGTAAAAAATATAAGAAATGATGTGGCTCATAATAGATTAAAAATTAAAATTTTTAACTAGCTTCCAAAATTGTCCCTATGTCCAATATTAGACTTTTGCCTATTTTAAAAAGTAAATTAAAAGTTAATTGTTAAAATTATTTAAAAAAAATATTAAAAAAATTGAGAGGTGGTGTTACTTACAAAAATCAAAAGGTCATAAATTGACTTTTAACATATTTCTCAAAATAAGTCAAAATAACATATTAATTGTCACATGCTATAAAAATATTTTATTATAGATAATTTACATTTCTGACATAAATTCAAAGTAAAATATAATTTATATTTTTTATATTATGTGATAGTTAATGTGATATTTTCTATCTTATTTTTAACAGAAATTAACTTTAAGAATAATTTTTTAAGAAAAATTTAAAATATAAAAGGTCAAAATGAAAAAAAATAAAATTTGAAGATTCAAAATAAGAAAATGAACAAGCATAATTGAGAAAAAAAATATAATTTACCCTTAACTTTGCTTTTACTGAAAAATTATGTGATAGTTCTCAAGTAAATTTATGTGATATCTTAATTTAATATTTATAAATTAGAATTATGAAACCAAATCACTTTCTTTGGTTTTGATTGATTTTTTTTAAAATTATTTTTTTTTATTTACGTATTATTTTATTTTTGGTAAATTTTTTAACATTTTAATTAATATTTTTACTTTTTATATGCACATAACTTAAATGCACCTAAACACTAAAGTATTTGTGAAAAATATTTAAAAAATAAAATAAATAAACAATAATACGAAAATATATTAAAATTTTATATTTTTATATTTGGTAATTTTTAAAGATTTTTTCCATAAATATTATATTTTTTAAACGTATCTAAATTAGTTATATTTAAAAAATATTAAATATTAAAAATTTTAACTATAAATAAAAAATACAAAAAATAAAATACTTAGTTTTTTAAAAAACGGATTTATTTTTTTAAAAGAAAAATGCTTGGGAACAATAATTAGTGCTCCCACTAATTAGGTGGGAGTGGGTCTCGCCATTAATGATGTGATATTTTGGTCTTGGAGTTGTATTTTTTTTTTTTTACTTTTTTAATGCATTAGTGCTATTAGTGTTGATGCTTTTAGTGGGATGAATCATTGTTGTTTTTAAAAATACCTCTTACTGGCATTTTAAGATATAACTTAACACGAAAAGATAAATGGCATGAGGAATATTATAATGTGTAGTAATGATAGAGATCTCACAAAATATAATTTATATAATTTTTAAAATAATTTAAATTATTCATATCACTATTAAAAATAGGGAAAATCGGTCTAAGGTCCCTATCCACCTTTTAGTAATGGATTAGGTCCACAATATATTCTTTTGTAGTTTAAGGTCCCTCACCCCCCATACCCAACAAATTAGACACAGGTGATAGAATTAAACTTCCGGATAACAAGGTTTTGCAAAAATTATTATTTGCTATCATCAAATCCAATAGATCAGCCGCATCATAAGCTGCTTCCTCAACTTCCTCCAGCCATTGCCCAGAATGCTTAGTTTTCCGGGTAAATTCAGGGCCAGACTAGTGTTGTTGTCATTGGAGGGCAAACTAGCAGATTTGTGAAGTCACCCTTGAGTTTGATGAATTCTGTGCATCTCCACCCATGTTGAGAGAAATTGCCACTCTTGCATTCCGCAAACTCGGTGGTGGAGTCGAGCTTTTCTTCTCAGCTGTGTTGAAGGGAAACAGCACAAAAGATTGCCCTTCAAGCACTGAGAGATGCTTCAGCAACTGAAACCCTAGTTCGGTCTCTCAAGTACAAAATTTCTCTTGAGATTTTACCCCTTTGACTCTTTGATCCAATCTTTTCTTCTTTCTTGATATTGTAGTTGTTTGGAGTTGAAATTCATAAGCTTTTTAGCTCTTACTTTTCTGGGTTTCTTTTTACTTTATCCCATTTCACATCGAATCTTGATTGAATTCTTGATTTCACACCTCAATTTGGGGGATTTTTTCTTTTCTGTTACTGTCATTATCACTCAATTGTTTCTGGGTTTAACTCAAAACCGACCATGGCAACATTAGCCCCTGGAGTTCTGCCGAAGCTTCTCAATGGAATGAATACAGGGGTCAAACCCACGAGTGAGCACCGGAGCTCGCTTGTGCAGGTAACCGACATTGTCCCCGCGGATCTTGATGAGAAGAATCTATGGCCGAAACATGGGTTCTACGTTAAAGTATCCGATTCATCGCATTCGATCTATGTTAGCTTACCATTTGAACAAGATGATCTTGTTCTCAGTAACATTCTGCAGTCTCAAAAATTAGCTTCTTTCATTATCCTTAGTTTTTTGATTTCCTATAAAACCAACAGATTTTCTCTGGACATAAACTTAAGACAAGGGGGAAAAACTGCAAGAGAGAAAGAGTACTAATCAATACCAAACAAAATCATGGGCATTTTGCATGCTAAAAGTAGCAGCAGATCTGAAAATTTTCTGAGAATAATTAGATTTTCCAGAGAAATTTGGACTGAAATTTCTCTGGACCAATTTTCTCTGGACTGAAATTTCTCTGCACCAATTTTCTTTGGATTGAAATTTCTCTGAATCAATTTTCTCTAGACTGAAATTTCTCTGCACCAATTTTCTCTGGATTGAAATTTCTCTGGACCAATTTTCTCTGGACTGAAATTTCTCTGGATCAAGGTTGAGGGACCTTAGACATTATGAAAATATTGTTGATGGACCTTAAACATCATAAAAATATTTAATATCCTTTATGCTATAAAATCATAATATCAAAGACCTTAAAAAAAAACCCCTTAAAAATATATATTTTTTAAATATATTAATAATCAATACATCAACAAATATCGTAAAGGTCTTCCTTTGTAAAGGTGGTGAACATTTTCGTTCCAATATTTACAAGGCCATCAAATATCAATCGCTTTTATTGGGAAATTATTATGCGTATTGATCTATTCCTAGTGGTGGGCTAACCAAAGATAGTGACGTGGGTCCACTTTTTTTGAGGTAGTATATCCTTGGACTATATGATGATGGGCTTTGGACCTATGAAAATTTTTATTGTGTTTGATGATCTAATAAAAATTTAAAGCTAATTACATTCACACCCCTCAAATTTCTTTGAAATTGCACTAAAATATAACTCACAATCTTCCCTATCATTCTCTTTATAATATGAAATATCACTAATTTTTCTTACTTTAAATAATTATTATAACAAACAAATCCCTTTGTCAATCAATCGTTTTTTGACTTAACAAAATTTTGTTTATGTTAACCAAAAAAATTCATAAATAACAATTGTACTTTGACAAATTTTATCTTTTTTATTTAAACCTTACCTCTAAGTTTCTCTAAAAACGCTAGCAGTAAACCCTAAACAACGTCTTTATTCTCCTTCTTTTTTTATAACCCCACAATAGCTACACCGTTGAACCTAAACCAATCAGTAACACCTCATGCCATTGGTCAAAAACAATTACTACCCACCTTTACTATTACCCCAACTCAACCTTCTACCGCAACCTCACTTTTGACTAATCACCTCTACACTTTTGTGCACCACTACTCAAATCTCAACTATTTTTACAACCACCAAACAACCAAACTCATCTCATGTCCACTATGTACCTTCAATTAACAAAGACCCAACTACGAGAATATAGAATACTATTGCCTTGTTGCTTGCATCACTACCCAAAACACATCTGTTACATAAGATCACAATCCATTACCAATTTGTGTTAAATCCTATAAATTAAGCCTTATTTATGCTGTATTTGACTGAGAGATTTGGAGGTATGTGAGACTGAGTAAAATGTAGATATATTTAATTCATATTTCACCTCATTTTTTTATTTTTCTTTCCAAATCTATTCTCAAGTGCCCCAACCAAATGCAGCATTAGAAAAAGAGAAAAATGAGAAAATGATACTTAAAGGTGGTAGATGTGATGTTGGGAAGGATGAGGGACTATAGAGTGAAGTTGGTATGGTTTGATGTGGAGAGCTGTTGATACCGATAGTATTTTTAGATTAGACGACAATGCTTTTAGATGGATGAGAAGAGATATATTAGATAATAGGTGGAAGAGAAAAGTGGAAGAGGAAGAGAAAATAGAGAGGTTGGAGATGGTAGCTTAGGTTTTTCTGTAGAAAAGTATGAGACATGAACGAAGAAAAAAGAATGAAGAGAAATAAAAAAAGAAAAAAAAGAAAGAAGAGAAAATAGATAAATTTTTATTTTAACAAATAAGGATATTTTAGTAATTATATTATTTTCATTAACAGTATTATCTGACAGGAAAGTCAGTACCATTTTAAAAAATAAAAGGATGATAGTGTGATTTCAAAGAAATCCAAAGCATGCCAGTGTAATTTACCCGGATTAAAAATACTTCTCTTTTAACATCTCAATAAATATTTTTTTAATTAATTTAAATTATTTTTTTTATTTTGTAAATTATAAATAAAAAACTATAGAAAATACTCTGATACAAATTATTAAAA